CAGCCTCGACCTGCTGGGCTCCGGCGATCTTTCTGCCTCAGCTTTCCAAGTAGCCAGAATTACAGGCGTGCGCTACCACGCCTGGCTGATTTTTCTTTTTTTTTGATTTATTGTAGAGATGAGGTCTCACTGCCCAGGCGGGTCTCGAACCCTTGGGTTCAGACAATCCACTCACCTCAGCCTCCCAAAGGCACGGGATTACAGGCTGAGCCACCGAGCCCGGCTATATTTCTGTATTGTATTATCTATATCTTCCCACTAGAATGGAATGCCCACGAGCGCAGGGTTCTGTCTGTTTTGTGAGCTGCTGTGTTCCCAGTGTGCAGATTGGCATTTGGAAATAGTGAATGCTCTGTGTGTGTTTTGCTTTGTTTTTGTTGGTTGGTTTGTTTGTTTGTTTTGAGTTGGAGTCTCACTCTGTCACCCAGACTGGAGTACAGTGACTGCTCCCGGCCACTGTAGCCTTGACCTGCTGGGCTCTGGTGATCCTTCCACGACTCAGCCTTCCAAGTAGCTGGAACTACAGGGGTGTGCTACCACGCCCTGCTAATTTTTGATTTATTGTAGAGATGAGGTCTCGCCAAGTTGCCCAGGCAGGTCTCGAACCCACGGGCTCAGGCAATCCACTCACCTCGGCCTTCCAAAGTGCTGGGATTACAGGCTGAGCCACCAAACCCGGCTGTTTTTGGTTTTTGTGTGTGTGTGTGTCAGATTCTCACTCTGTCGCCCAGGCTGGAGTATAGTAGCATGATCATGGCTCACTGCAACCTCAACCTTCTGGGTTCAGGTGATCCTCTGGCCTCAGTAGCCTGAGTGACTAGGACTACATGCTTGCGCCTCCATGCCCTGCTAATGTTCTTATTTTTTGTAGAGACGAGGTCTTGTTATGTTTCCTAGGCCGTTCTTGAACTCCTGTGCTCAAGTGATCCTTCTGCCTTGGCCTCCCAAAGTGCTAGATTATAGGGAGCCACTGCACCCAGCCTTTGTTTTTCTTATTGAAAGTGTGAGCTGTCATGAAAAGTGAATGAAAGCTCCAGCTCAGATGTGAAGTGTCTGCATCTGAATTTAGATTCTACCACTTACTAGCTGGGACAACTTCATAACTTCTCTAAGCCCGTTTTCTCATTTGTAAAGTGCTAATCACACTAAAAGGATAAGTACAACACCTACTTTATAGAGCTGTAATAAAGAATAAAGGAGAAAGTGTGTTTAAGTCCTTGGCACAGTGTCCTGGAAAGAGTGAATTACTTTTCATGCTCTCAGTCATCACTCAGAAAGAAAAAATGCCAGGGCAAGAGCCTCGTAACTCCTCGGGCAGTGCTGGTGGTGCTGGGTGTTACCACTGCTCCTTCCTCTACCCCTCACCACCGCCACAACTCCGAGGTAGCTGAAGTCAATGCTTGATCCCTTTCTTGAGTCTCTGCATCCCTTCCCCACCTCATTCCATCTCTTCTCTGTTCCACTATGAGGGCCCTCATTTCTGCTGAGATGCTGAGTTCACGTCCAGGGGTCACCTCAGCCCAGCTGAGGGGGAATTTGCACCCAAGAGTGGATGTGCCACATGAGGCAGCCTCACCCTGGAGGTTCCTACCTGTGTTCGTTTCACTTCCTCCTTAACCCCCCAGTAGCACTACCCTGGGCATCTCTCAACAGAGGAATTAAACAAAGACTTGATGCCAACTTGGTCAACCCTAGCACTTAATGAATTCCCATGAGTCTACTCAGGAAGCGTGGCTGGTGGTCTTTCTCATGGCTCTGACCAGCCTCTGGCCTCCTTGCTGATCTGTGAATGCCCCAGGCAGGACCCTGCCTCAGCATTCTGCATTTTGGCTCTTCCTCATTTCTTTGAGAATCTTGACTGAATGTCACCCCACCCCTAGTGAGCCTTTTATGGCCACTCTCCTAAAAATTGTAACCCAACTCACAACACTGCTCTCCTGATGTTTCTCCATAGCATCACTCACTGACATGCACATATTTTATTCCTTTATTATATTGGCTATATCTTCCCACTAGAATGGAATGCCCTCTGTCACACGATGCCCTCACACTTGGTTCCCTTTGGCTGTGAACAGCTGCCCTGATGTGGGCATTATTCATTTGCTTTATCTAATAAAATACTTCTCATTCCACTGGCATAGGTCTAGACCTCTACATAGTAGAAGGAACAAATCCTGGATTCATTTACCAGATTGAGGCTTTCGATCCAGAAGATACAAGTCGGAACATACCCCTCAGTGTAAGTGTCCTTGTTACACTGAAGACGTGCTTGTCTACTTTGGCTTTGACGTAGGAGCCTTGTGTCCCAGGTCCCAGCAGGGTGGGTTTGGGCAGTGGCAGTTGGGGGAATATGCTGTCTACTTCCAAAGCACAGAGTATAGGGGATGGTTGGATGGGTAAAAGGTTCTGGAGATGGACACCCCAGATTGGATTTGTGGCTTTGTGAAGTCTCAGATGAGTTCTTAACCTATGTGACCCCCCAATGTCTTCATCTGTAAAACAGGAAAAATGAAAGTATCTACCATGGTAGGGGTATTGTGAGTATTTGATAGATAATACATGTAAAGCCACTTAGGTGTCTGATCCTCCCAAGAGCGGAGGACAGTACCAAGGCTCTGGGGCAGGTGAGAGTCCCAGACAGTAGTTTTTGTGCCAATGCCACTCTCAGGTCAAAGAAGGGGCAGTTGGCCACTCCCTTCCACCATGTCCAGGGCCACATGTGAGTTTTTCCTTTAACCTGGTGAATTTCATGTCTATAATCGCTTTCTCATGTGCCGACAACCTTCTCTGACTGTGTTGAGTTCAGGTTGTAGCATCCCCCAGCCACAGCAAGACCCATGCCCTGGACACCCCAGGTTGCCCCAAAGAGGCGTCCTAGTGCCAATGCCTCCAAGCGGTGGTGACAGACCATCTGCTGCCTGCTTGGTGGATGCGACCCGGTGATCCTTGTATATTACACAGTACTGATTTCAGAGAATTTAAGCCTTAGCCTATTTAATGCTGGTTTTAAACCTTTGTCATTTGAAATACATGTGTATGTTGGGGGATGGGAGGGAGGAGCCAGGTGGATCAGCTCAGAGCCTCCTCCTCCAGCTTGACCTCTTCATTCAGAGACTCTTGATGAAAATCATCTTTTTATATCTTTCTCCGGAAATGAATTCTGTTTTAAATTGGAATAAACTTTGTTCCTAAAAAAAATTATAAATCACTTAGGGTAGTGCTGGGCATATCAAAACTGCTCAACATTTTAAAAATCTAAGCCGATAGAAAACCACCTACATTATTTAAAAGTAAGCATAAAACCTACACCCCAAAGCCAGGCATTAGCATGTCTTTCTCAAGAAATGAAGCCAAGCTGCTTGGAAGCAAGTTCAGAGAATCATCGGTGTCCCAGGAATTCTAGGTGGTGGAATAAGAGGTTGGGTCCTGGAGAGTCGCTCCGGTTCAGTCTGAAACAACGATGTCTCTTTTCTCCCTCTTAATCCGTTTCCTTAACGGAGCTAACCAATGGGGCCATTGTAACTGCTTATCCTGAGGCAAAACCTCTCAGCTTGACCCTGGCCATGAAGTCCTCAGCTTCTAGCTCTGCCCACCAGTCTGTTCCATGCACACACCGCAGCTGGGCAGCCCACGTAGGAGAGAAAATAAACGAAGTGAATTCCACCCGACTAGCCTTGGAGCAGGCAGCACTCTTGCCAGCCCTGCCTTCCAGAGGAGAGAATCCTTGAAATATGACACTTGGGGAATTGATAAACACCAGGAGGCTGTTTCTACTGTTTGCTGCATGATTTGCAGCTTCAGCTGGGCTACTTTTTCTAACAGGATGAAACAAGCCTTGGGAATAAATTCCAGGACCAGTATATATAGTCTACAAGGTCTGAAACAAAGCTGTTTTAAGATTATTGGATTCAACTTAAAGTAAGGGAATAGTCTATTTTTTATTAGAATATGATACTTCTGTGCAAAAAAAAAAATCATTCATTAACTCATTCATTCAAGTTTTAGTCAGGTCAGTATTTTCATGAATGAATGAATGAATATGCAAACACTTAATGAGGGTCTACAATGTGCTAAGAACAAAAATAATAGAGATTTATTTATTTATTTATTGGGTTAGGGTCTCACTCTGTCACCCAGACTGGAGTGCAGTGGCACGATTATGGCTCACCAAAGCCTCCAATTCCTCACCTCACCGCAGCCTCGAACTTCTGAGCTCAGGCAATGCTTTTGTTTCAGCCTCTCGAGTAGCTAGGACTACAGGCATGTGCAGCCAAGCCCGGCTAAATTTTTGGATTTTTTTTTTTTTTGGTGGAGATGAAGTTTTGCTATGTTGCTCAGGCTGGTCTTGAACTCCTGGGCTCAGGCGATCCTCTTGCCTCAGTACTCCAAAGTGCTGGGATTACAGGCGTGAGCTGCCATGCCTGACTAATAAGTGCTTTAAATGCATAATTGTAGCTGGGCTCAGTGGCTCAGCCTGTAATCCCGCGCCTTTGGGAGGCTGAGGTGAGTGGATTGCCTGAGCCCGCAGGTTTGAGACCCGCCTGGGCAGGCGAGACCTCATCTCTACAATAAATCAAAAAATTAGCTGGGCATGGTAGCACATGCCTGTAATTCCGGCTACTTGGAAGGCTGAGGCGGAAGGATCACCGGAGCCCAGCAGGTCGAGGCTGCGGTGGCTGGGAGCGGCCACTGCACTCCAGTCTGGGCGACAGAGTGAGACTTCAACTCAAAAAAAAAAAAATGCATAATTGTTAGTAACATACTTGTTATATCAGTTAGGGATGTGTTTGCAAATAAAGAAAGTGTAACCCAATGGTGGACATGGGATTTTCTTTTTCTTCCATAATAAGGAGTCTAGAGGCAGGCAGGCAGGCAGTTCAGCACCAAGGCAGATGTTACATCAGGAACCTGGGCTCTTCCTATGTTGCTCCTCTTCCATCCAAAGCACGTTTTTTGGCTTTGTCCTCTTTTTCTCACCTCATGATTGCAAGAAGGCTGCTGTCCTTCCAGTCTTTGCCTCTGAGTTCCATGCAGGAAGAAGAAAGAAACAAGAAAGGGTAACAGAATAAAGGGGGCAGGCCCAATCTATCCTCTTTTTGGCAGGAAAACAAAAACTCTCTTGGAAGCCCTACATAGAGGACTTCTGCTATATCTCATTGGCCAGAATTGTGCCCTATGGTAACTATTGTTTGATGGCGACCAAGGGAAAAGGGATTCTGGATGGAGATTAGGTCAACAACCCAAAGTATAGGACCTTATTGATGTATATTTAGTTCATTTCAACATTTACCAAGAATTTACTATGTGCCAGGTATTCTATTAGACATTTTAGACGCAGAGATGAGTAGGACACATGGATTTCAAGAAGTTTGTGTGGAACTAACAGCTATACAGAGAGTCAATAGCCAGTCTACAGAAATGCATGTAGGGGAGAAAAAGTAATTATCTTTTCCTTACTTGTTGCAGGCTTTCAGCTGACCACCTGTAACAAAAGACAGATTAACAAGAGAAAAGCATAACAAAAGTATTTAACCAAAGTTTCATGTTACATAGGAGACCTCAGAAATGAAGACCCAAAGACCCAGGGAAAAACTGTATTGTTATGCTTAGGCTTGATGAAGAATGGGCAGTCTTGTAGACGTGTGTTTGGAAAACAGGGGGGTTTGACCTAATGGTAATAAACTGGGGGAACTTGGCAAGGCTTGTTTGTTCAGATTCTTCTTGGTCTCCGAGCATAGGGCAGGATCCCTCTGGATTGAGGATCTTAAGAAATCCTCTGAGGTGAGGAAGGTCAGAGAATTCCTTTATGATAATGCTTCAGGGATGAAAGTTGGGAGAGAGTGACCCTCTTGCCTCTGAGGTTTTCTCAATTGCCAAGGCGCCATATTTGGGAGTGCTGTATTCTTCTCTCCAACACATACATACACTCAGTAATTATAATTCGGTATGATCATTACTGTAAAGTTTACACATGATGCAATAAGGGTAAAGTGGAAGGAATCTCAGTTGTGAAGACAATTAAATTTCCATGTTTAATATACCTCTCCAAATTATGCAGCTGGACTAAGGTCACAGCCCCTTTAAAAACACCTCGCAGCTCTAGTTGTTAGTCTGTAAGATGAAGGGAAACAGCCCGGGTAAAAAGCAACTGAGGCAGGAGGTGCTCCCTTGGAAAAAATGGAGTGCCATCAAAAGGGTTCTCAGCGCAGCTGCAGGGGCTTGGAACCAGCGGCTGCAACTGTGACTTCTGCAGTGAGTTGAGTTGTTTGAGGAGGGCGTCCTCAAAGTGGCCGCAGAAAGTATTAATGAAGTATTTAACACCTGTGCTGGAACTAACAGCTGTACAGAAAGTCAACAGCCTGCAGGAGCAGTGAGCATCATCTGGAAGGAATGTTTCCCAGATGAGAAAACAGTAATAACAATTTGGACATCACGTATTATGGCCTTTGTACTTAGACATTTTATTCTGGGCGCTTAGGGGTCCTGAGCAGGGATAAATGACATACTTTACTCTGTAAAAGCAGAAAGGAGAGGGATTACTGTGCTACTGACCAAGCCTGTGCTTCTCAACCTTGGCTGTAAATTGAAACCACTGAGGGGAACTTCAAAGATCACAGCCGGTAGCCCCATCCCCTGGGAATCTGATGAGATTGACTTTGGGTGTGGCTCAGGCATCAGAACTGTAAAGCCCCCGGAGTTCCAATGCATGGCCAGGGTTGAGAATTGCTGCTTTAAGACACTGTCTTCCAAATGTTCCAAGTGCTTCTCTTGAAGTTTCTATGAGTCTACGTTGAGTCTGGAGATCTGTATACAAGAGGAGGACCCAAAAAACCCTAGAATTTATTTATAAAAAATTGTGTATTTTTATTGCATGTTTAAACTTCAAAGGACTCTCCATTTGGTGCACTATACCTATTGAGACGCTTTTCCCACTGCCCAAAACAGTTTCTGAACTTGTCAATTTTCATGCCCTTTAGTGCTTCTGCTGTTTCTTGTTTCACCTCTTTCACATGGGCAAAGCGTTTCCCTTTGAGGACTTTTTCATCTGGGGAAACAAAAAAAAGCCACTCGGGGCAAGATCAGGTGAATAGGGAGGTTGGGGCAAGGAGGGGCATGCTGTTTTGGGTCAAAAACTGCTGATCACTCAGAGCAGTGTGGGCTGATGCACTTGTAAATCTCCCATCACGAAATGGGCAAAGGTGCCGAAAATCTCTAAGAAAAATTCATTGAAGCCTGACG